GTGCCATTATGCAGCTGATTTTCCACGGTAATGCCGCACAGCGGCCAAATTTTTATAATATTGATGGGTATCATCAGGAGTTTTTGCAGGATTTTAGGTTGTTGAGGAGCTCAGAAATCTCTTTTTTCCCTTCTTTTCCTTCCTCTTCCTCTTTCCTTTTTAGGCACATTTTTTGTAATTCTTTTGGGAACCCACAAACACCGTAACCGAGCCCTCGCTGCCTCGCTGTGGCACCAGTGGAGTATTGCCATTGACAGTCATCAAAACAGATTGGAGCATCGTTGACAGGTGCTGGAGTCTTCCAAAATTATTACAGCAACTTGCGGAGTGGGTAATTATGTGATGTCCTTCACAGCCGGACCTACTGTGAACATAAAAGACGGCAAACTTCAGTTACCGCCAAACTACCACTCTTCTTTTTTAAGAATTCCGTGAGTGTCCATATTTCCCCTGGTCTGTGTTTAAGCTCATCGTTCGTCGTTCAATTATCCAGTTTTGACTTTCTCCGAACTTCGAATTCAATCACCTCACCCTTAACGACCGCAACGGTATATACCCTCGATAGCCAATGAATGAATAAACATTGATGTTACCTCTAGACCATGTTCCGCACCCAACAACTGTTCGCCATTCTTGCCCTCGGAGTCGCGCTCGTTTTCGCCGACGACTACGTCAAATGTGAGACGTCCGACGGCAGCCCGCCCGTCAGCGGATGCCAGCTCATCGTCGACGGCTTCAAAGAAGGTGCTGATCCCGGCTGCGCGCAGCCATACGGCTCCGGCTGCCAGAATGAGGGCGGCAACAACGCCGGTTGTGCGTTCGTGCTATGCATGCAGGACGGCACTGAGCCGCAGTGCAGCGACCCCGCCAGCGCGGCAACCTTCACACAGAAACTCATCGACCAATGCGCGTCAAACGGCAAGGTCGGCGGGTACTACCACCAGGACCTGGGTGATGGTCACTATTTGAACTACGAGTTTATCAAGAACTAGACGGATGGAAGGAGGGAGCGAGGGAAGAATATACGCACGTATGATACGATAAGATAGGATGGGAATGATTAATATTACTTGTACGCTTGGATGCCGGACCACCAGGAGGCAAACCTGGAGTTTCGACAGTCGGGGTGGAGCGGAGTCCAATTAAATCCAGCCTGGGCCTCAGCTCGAGTTGAATTGAGTGGCTAGCATTGAATTGCGACGAGGAGTGTGCGAGTGTGACTGATTGTGAGAGGTTGGTCTATGGATGCGGGAAGGCGGATATTATTCTTCGATTAATATTTGATGTCAACTATTTCAGGCTTTCTTACTTGAATAATTCAAGCCTCCTGGATTTTTGGCAGTAGTCGTTTGTAGATGCTGTATTATTTGGGTCAAAAGGGCACTTGAAGAGTGAATGTAAGCCAGAAATGGGGTCCAAAAGCGTAAGACAGACACACTAAATCAACTCATTCGAGCATGAGTGGGTGTTCCTTCTCTTCGTCTTCTATGTAGAGTATAAGACAGTCCGCGTAATTTTGAGACCATTCATCTAATGCGTCCATGTATCCGAGGTATCTCAGTCGTTGAAGGTCTGTGTCTGTGATTGTAAGGCCACATTTCACTCAGTGTCGGTGTGTGTCGAGAGTAGGACGGTCGAAGACTACTTTTGATGGACTCGGGGGGAGAACTTTATAATCTCTCAAATAAGACCAAAAAACAAAGACGTAACTGGCAGGTACAATTAAATAAGGATCCCTAGGAAAGCAAGGAGCATCAGAACAAAAGACGATGCACTGCAACGTAGCCACCCGGTAGGCAACAGGCCCTTGAATTGCCTTGGAGATCAGAAGCTGCATAAGTCTCTTGGATACTTGCAAGCTCAACAACCGGTTCCCTTTTGTTGGTCGTACACAAAATTGAATTCAAACCGTGAGAACTGTTCTGCTGATGCAATGCCGAACACATCCAAGTTCAGTTCTTCAGCGGCATTTCTCGCAGAAGAAACCAAAAAAGCAGAGCACCTCTTCTTTTGGGATCTAAGTCTTCTAAATCCCACAGAGGGACGATACTTAATTGCTTGATCCCACATATAACTTTTGTCCCTGGCGGCATCATTGTTTTGACCGTCGTTGCGATTATGTTCGGTGTTTTGTTCCGGGAAACCTGGTATGTGAATGGTATAGAATCTATTGTTATGAGTATATACCTTGTCTTCGTTCTATTTGTGGCCTGGTTTCTTCTTAACCCACTACAAACTTCACCCCATGTATTGCAGTTAGTCAGGAGCTGGTTTAACTTCTTTTCGGGACCCCCAATTCCTTTTGCATTGTTGGAGGCGTGAACTGAGCTTAACTTCGGTAAAATAACACTGATTTGTTGGGAGAATTCTCAGGGACTCAAGGCGCATAGTGTGCGCCTGCCAATGGTCAACATCGTAACTTGACATAGCTCAACAGCTGATATCTGTTTGTTTGGGGAGGGGAGTGCGATGGAGTGTGTGCGAAATGAGAGTAGGATAATATGACGTCCTTGAGACATCTGGAATAACGGGTTAGGTTTACCAAATTTCTTGCGAATTAGGCATGTTGTAAATCAGGTCCAGTCTCTCCGAGTCTTGAGTCAGACAGACTGGCCACTCGCACCGTCGATACACAGGACATTCAAGTTGGTGGCGGTCAAAATCGCTAACAAACAGAAGACGGACTCGAAATGTCCAGGCGCAGAGCTCAGTAGGCCAATGATTGGAGCAGCGTAAGCAAAGAAAGATACCTTTTCTGACATCAGACTGTGGCTTAGTCTCTTATAAACAGACGCTATAACAACACTGACCTCGTACCTCGGTTTGTAACAATAATCCATTTGAATCCCGGGCAAATAAACTGAGCTACGACGGGCTGAACTCATAAGATGTTACGGATATCCGAAAGGCAGGGAATCTGCCTACACCGATGGCATGCCGCCTCAGTGCAAAGGATTTATTCTTTCGAGTCACTTTCAGTCTTTTGATTTTTAGCCTGGGCCACATGTTGTCCCTTTGAACACTGAGCAAGAGTTTTCCACGGATAGCCAGATTTTCTTGACTCCAAACGGACTACGGCAGCGAGGGAAACTGGGAGCGGCCCGGGGTTTGTGACAACCAGTACCACATTCCGTTATGTATGTAATCACGCCAGGCCGTCCACTGCTTCGAACACGAGGCTTCCTTGTTTCCAGCCCCACTGCACCATGCCATCCCTCCAGAATGCTGTGGAAACTCTGACGGTGTTCGGTCTATTTTTTCGAGTAATAGCCTACTTTGTCGGATACGACCTCACGGCAGTTCCAGAGCGCCGGCTTCCAGATCCCACATGGACGGGTGGGCTGGGAGACAAGTCTATCCATGCAATTTGCGCTCTTCTTTCTCTCCGCGCGATATTGTACGCCATAGAGGCTATTGTTAATGCGTCACGGTGGACGTGTGCATCAGGAAAATCCCAAATGCTATGGGTTCTATGGGCAGCTACATAGACCCACATAGACACCCATAGACACTATAGCAACGTTGCTATGGCCTCTATAGCTTCTATGGTGTCTATGGGTGTCTATGTGGCAGCCCATAGCAATTTGGCTTTTTCCTGATGTGGTAGGCACCTTCACGCGGGTACGTGCATTTCTTGTTCGCCCGTCGCTATGGCTAGAACGAGGTACTTATATGCACCAGACATGTTTCCGGAAGGTTATGAAGACGAGTTTTACTCGAGAGCATTCTGCGGCGCAGTTATATACGGCATCCTTCCGTATTGTGACTTCTGGAGTCGTGACTTTGTCTCTTCCGAGGCATCGTTTGGCGAGCAGCTGGTGGCCGTGGGGCCACATATCTCGCACGGTCTCTATTATTTCCCAGAGTTAAGTTAAGTTAGGCGGTTGTGTCGCAAAATTACTCTGGCCCATCGTCAAATGGCCCGTGGTCATCTGGCTTGGCCTCTGTATGTTGGGTGTTCTCGCCTTGCTCCTGGGTGCCGCCATGGAGTGTATTAGCCTGCGACGGAGTCGTGGTTCGGAGGTAGAACGCCAAAACGAAAATAACTCCAGACCTCCTGTAAAGATGCGGAGGAGGAGAAAGGCGAAGCTCAACAGAGGGGGCAATTATGCATTGGCAGCAGAAGAAGGTGAGTTCGGAGTTGACTTTGGCTGTGAGTCTTCTGCTCAACTCAAATATTGGTGCACAATCAAAGCGGGTCACTCACTCTCTTTCTTGATCCTGTCATGCGTGTTGGTGTTCGAAGTACTGTACGATAAATAGGTAAAGGACAACTGAACTTGAATACTGTGTTTTTCTGAGATCAGAATACTCACTCCTATATATACTTGAGTACAGGGAGGTAAGCACCCAATGCACAAAGTGTGCACCTGCTATCTGTCCTTCTTCCGTGATGTGGTGTAAGCAGGAGGTCTCCGTTTGATTTAGGGTCGGGTGGTGCGCGCTAGTATTGCCTATTTTTCTTTTGATATCTATTGGTTCCTTGTTTGTCTACTGTTTTCAGTTTTTCTTGACTCGTGGGTGTGCATCTGGCAGCTGTACAATAGGCTAAGGGACAACTGAAATTGGTTCAATGAACCTTGGATAATTGTGTTTTTTATAAGGTCAGACTGGTACTTACTCCTATGGATACTTGAGCACAGGGAGGCAAGCATCCGATGGCACGAGGTGTGCACCTGCTATCTTTGACTCCGTCGAGATAAAACACTGCAAGCAGAAGGTCCCTCGTTTGATTCGGGGTCGGATGATGTGCTGGAGACCAAAGGTTTTTTTTTGTTCTTTTCTTTTCTTCACTGCAGGTTCATTCCTACATGTGTGGTGGTTGGTCTGAATTACTGTAATGCTCACCACTCACCTTTTTTTCACCGCACATGCGATGCCATTGGTCATCAACGGATCTGGTAGATGCTTTTAAACTTGAAGTTGGTTGCAAGTACTGTAGAAATAGGGTTTTTTTTTTCTGAGGTCACAATACTTACACTTGAGCACAGGGAGGCAAGTACCCGATGGCACATGGTGTGTGCCTGCTTCAATTATTGATGTCCATAATCCACCAAGCAGGAGGTCCCCGTTCGATTCGGGGTCGGGTGATGCGTGGGAGAGGCTTCATCCTCTTTTTTTCCCCCCCCCTTTCTCCTTTCTTGGTTCCCCGCACTCAGCGCTCTGTCTTTCTTTTTGCGTTCCAATTCGGATTTGGGGACTCACTTGGTATGTCATTAATCCCTCAAGAAGTGCCAGGCTTGAGGCTCGGTTGTTAAAATCACAAGTCAAAGTTGCCTTGTGTTCAATTGGCTAGGTGTTGTACTATAGCTCGAGTTGAGTCTAGAGAGAAGCACCCGATGGCACATGGTGTGTGCCTGCTTCAATTATTGATGTCCATAATCCACCAAGCAGGAGGTCCCCATTCGATTCGGGGTCGGGTGATAAGCAGGGTGATATGTGAATTTTTTTTCCCCCTTGTTTCTAATTAAATTGGCTCTCCGCACTCATCGTGTGGCTTTCGCTTCGATTAAACTTTTTTTCTCGTTCTGATTTGGATTTGGATGTGGTGCGGTGCGGTACGGCATTATATTAATTTGCTCATTCGTTGTGATGTACACTGCCTGTTTTTTTTATGAGGTCAGAATACTTACTACATATATATATTTGACTCTTGAGCAGAGAGAGACAAGCACTCGATGCACAAGGTGTGCGCCTGCTATCTTTGGCGCTTAGATGACGGCAGTGTAAGCAGGAGGTCCCCGTTCGATTCGGGATCGGGTGATGCACGTTAAGCGCTAAACAAGACACTTTTTTTTGTCCTTCCTATTTTCAGAGTTTCTTAATGGGCTTTCAGCTCTCCTGTATTTTTTTTTTCTTCTTTCGGATATGGATTTGGATTTGGTGCGGTTCGGTATGATATAAATTCACTCATTTGTCTCGTATGTACAACATTAGATTCAAGGCTTGGTTATTTAAATCACAAGAAATCAAGTCTATGTTCAATTGAATAATGTTGCAGCTCGAGTTGAGTGTGGGGAGGCAAGTACCCGATGACACATGGTGTGCGCCTGCTTCTTGTGAGAAGAAGCTCAGTTAAGCAGGAGGGGTCCCCGTTCGATTCGGGGTCGGGTGATCCGGAAGCTGTAAACCTCCTTTTTCCCCTTCCTTGCTTCCAGTGCCCAGCTCCCGAGTGCTTTTTGCTTTTTTTTTTTTTTTTTCAGATTCCGTACAGTGCGGAGTGCGGTGCTCGTTCGGTATTATATTAATTTGCTCATTTAATACCATGAAGATTCAAGGCTCGGTTGTTCAAATCACGAGAAATCAAGTCTCTGTTCAATTGAATAGATGTTGTAGCTCGAGTTGAGTGTAGGGAGGCAAGCACTTGATGGCAAATGGTGTGCGCCTGCTTCGATTTCAACGTTCTTGTGTCTTAATAAGCAGGAGGTCCCTCGTTCGATTCGGGGTTGGGTGATCAATGGTAATGGAGAAGAAAAGCCTTCCTTTTTTTCTTCCTTGTTTCCAGTGTTTCTTACTCAGTGCTCAGTGCTCAGCTCTCGAATGTCTTTTGCTTTCATTTGTTTTATTCTCGGATTCGGATCCGGTGTGGTGCGGTGCTCAGTCGATAAGTATCACGGTAATTCAATCATTCGTTTAAATGATGTACATCGTACAAGGTTAGATTTCAAGGCTCGGTTGTTTAAATCAAATTGAACGAACAGGTATGTATTGTAGTTCGAGTTGAGTATAGGGAGGCAAGCATCTGATGGCACATGGTGTGCGCCTGCTATCTTTGAAGTTGGTGATAGAAAGTTGTAAGCAGGAGGTCCCTCGTTCGATTCAGGGTCGGGTGATAAGCTAGGTCACGAGTAATTTTGTTTTGTTTTCCTTCCTTTGTCTCCAGTGTTTCTTGCTTCTCAACAATCAGTGGTCAGTGGTCAGCTCTCGAGAGTCCTTCCCATTCAATTGTTTTGGATTTGGATTTGCGGTGCGGTGCGGTGCTCGTTCGGTATTATATTAATTCGCTCATCGGTTGCGATTGTAACACTGTCTCTTTATTTATCTGAATGGACACGCATAATTCGATCTGGGAATGAGTATGTACTGTTGTACAGTAGATGGAAGGATTGAAGGATGGACGGATGGTTGACTTGACATTATGACTTGACTTGACTTTGGGATTGCGGTCCGGGTCGGGAAGGTGTGCAGGAGGGGATGGCGGTGTGAGGGATCAATTATGGAGGAGGAGAGGGCGGTGCGAAGAGTCAACACCCGAGGGCAGATCGTTGTCGATACATATCATGAGCTATAAGTGTCCATCGGTCGCAGCGCTTGCTTCAGAGGATCCAGTATTGGGTTCAGCGAGGAGGGAAGGTACTCAATGAAGCCGTACGTGGCTGCGTTTAATTGACGAGTCCAATTCGCCAACGGATACGGTACCGAACAAAGCCTGAGAGCGTCGGAGAAATATAGCTTACTGGTAGCGCGCCAATGGAGAGAGTCATAGATAGCGCGAATTTAAGTATTGGGCACTTGACTATTGAACAAGGGAGCGCCGGTGAGCGATTGGGACTGATAAATAGGCTGTATTACAATAAATAGGCTGTATTACAATAAGGAATTCCCGTTGCAGGTAAATGCGAGATCGGTGGCGCGAGATTGCTAAATATTGCGTTTAGTGCGAGGGCGAGGGTGGGGAGAGCGGCAGCGAGCAGCGAGCAGCAGGAAGGGATGGCAGATGGCGCCAGTGGGCTGACGCAGGGGTGCCCGACGAGCCCAGTGCGTTTCGCGATGTGGTGAGTGAAAGAAGACCGGAGGCAGTTAAGTCGCCGAAGAATCGCCTGCCTTTCTGCGACATATTGCACTTGAGATGGCTACCCGACGCAACAGCAACACCCAGCCAATCCTCCGCTACGACGGTTACACGATAAATGCTTTGACGAACTTGGCTAAAGCTTGCTAATGTGATTGGTTTGGCTTCGGACTTACACGTGGAAGCGAGCAAGTTAAAGGGCACGCCTAAATAGCAAGCTCCAACTTAGATTCCTGCTTTGCCATTCCCCTCATGGCGTCCCCTACCGCCGCAGCAAACCCCAACGCGCTGCGCGTCCGCCGTAAGCCCGCGCCAAAGCTCGATGCGGAGGACGACGCCGCCCTCAAAGCACTCGCTGTTGAAGACGATGTGCCCGCTAGGCTACCGCAGCGCGCGTCGTTTGCGCTGTATCCCGATCTTTTACCGCTGTCTCCCGTCGATGCTGCTGATGGTGAAGACGATGTGCCCGCTAGGCTGCCCCAGCGCGCGTCGTTCGCGCTGTATCCCGATTTTGTCCCGGATTCTCTCCCTGCCCCTTTGGCCTCGCCCGCGCCGTCTGTTTCTTCTTCGACATCTACGCCTCACTATACTCGCCGGCGTGCCCACACATCCCTTTCCCCGCCTTCGTCACCGTCTCCGACACCTACAGCGACGCCTATGACTACGACTACTACATCCACCACAGCAGACACCAAGCCGCGCAAATCCGGCCTCGCGCGCCTCCACCTTCTCCTCCCGCATGCGCACCCTCACTCTCATACCGGCGTGCCAATCCCAATCCGCAAACACACAATCTCCACACCCACACCCGCCCCGTTCCCGCCGGGCATGATCCCGCCCGCGCTCGCTGCCCTTGCTGCCGCGCGAGACGGGAGGGAGATCAAGTTGCGCGATTTAGAGTTACCTCTCTCCCCGACGCGTTCCTTCGCTTCCTCCTCCTCCTCTTCAGGATCCGGATCGTCTTCGTCGTCGCGCACGTCAGGCGAGAGCGAGAGCGCGGGGACGTCCCCGCCCGTCTCGCCGTTTTCTGTGGCGGCGCTCTCCCCCATCTCCCCCGTCTCCCCATCGTGCGCGACGGTACCGCCGGCGTCTGAGTCACCCATAGCGGACGTGGCGCTGAAACGACGCGGGAGCGCCAGGATCGTCAAACGCCGCCCGTCCGTGAACGCGGCTACCTACGCGTCTACTGCGCCACCACCTCTCTCTATTTCTGCCACCACTCCTTCTCCCACCTCTCCTCGGAAGAATAACGCACGCAAAGCAACCAAACCACCCCCCCTCGCGCCCCTCGCTCCCCCCACACGCGCCGCCCTCCTGCGCGCCGCGCGCCTCCCGCTCGTCGCGCCCAGCGGCGTGCGCGTGCCCTTTGGCGAGGTGTTGGGCGTTCCGCGGGGTGCGCTGGGTGTGAATGCATTCACCGCGGAAGTGGATGTCGATGGTCAGTACTCCTCTTCCCCTCATTCCCGGTCTAATATAACCTGACCCAACCTAGCGCCTGCGGGAAGCCCGACACGGACTCGCCGCACCCTCGTCATCTTCCTCCGCCACTTTTGGTGCCCGCTGTGCCAGGATTATATGGCTGCGCTCGCGAGGGCGGTTTCTGCTGCTGCTGCTACTACTTCGGTTTCCGCACGTTCTATTTCTACGACGCATGACGACAATACGACCTCTACGCCTACTTCCTCGACATCGAAAGACAAACACGACGCGAATAACACTCATTCCGCACATTCTACTCCGGCAGATTCTATGCCTATGCCTACAACTACTACGACGACGACGATAAATCCGATCCCGCCCTCGCTTTCTGCGCTCTTTGCACCTCTTGATGCGCCTACGCCAGAGGACTCGGACGCCCCGAAAGCGGAAGGGGAGAACCCAGACACGGAGGGAAACGAAGTCGAAGCCCCGTGTCCCGCCTGCGCCTCAATCCAATCCCAGTCGCACGCCGATGGGACGTATGACGCGTATTTGGAGAGTTTGGTGAGTACCTACCCTCCTCTCACGAATTCTTCGAGTCAGCCAGCCAACTGACGGTAATTTCTTTTCTTTCTTTTTATGTAGATCTCTCCGTCTTCATCTCGGGACTCGGAACCGGAACCTAACGCGGGCGGCGAAGCTTCGGAGGGTGAGGAAGCAAAGGCTGAGGGTGAGGACGCAAAGGCTGAGGGTGAGGACGCAAAGGGTCAGGAAGCAGGCGGAGAAAGAGAAGAGGAAGAGGAGACACAGACACAGACACAGACGCACATCCTCCTCATCGCCCCCGGCGCGCATACGCTCGCGGAGAGGTATTTGGGGT